AAAAAAGCTAGAGGAAATCCTACAAAATATTAATTACATAAATAAATATAATAAAGCATTAGCGAAATTTTTTTAAATAAATTTAAATACATTAATAAATTTTTTTCCCATAAAATCAGTTAGAAAATTTTTATCATTTTACCGATCATTACTAAAAATGATCGACAGCCAGTAACTTTTGTCAGGGGAGTGTACATATAAAAAAATTTGGTATTCATATGATATGTATATAAAAAATAATTGTATACCTATATATAAAAAAAAAAATTGTTATTTGCAATATGTATCGTTATATAAATCGATCGGCTTATTTTGAAAAAATTGACCATTTAGCCGAAAATTAGCTTTTGGCCAATTTTTTTTTCATTCTGTACCAATATGAATAAGTGCATTAACCTTATGGGAATGATGTTTCCAGTAAAATATAAGTTGTTCTTCCAAGTTTAATAAATCTATCACCATCTTATGAACGTTGATAACTGTAATAAACAGAGATATGCAGGTGCTACATACATTGTCCAAAATCCATTATGAATCCAGAATTTTCTGGACCAAAGAAAAATCCGGGTTACTTCACATGTATTGAAATTGTGGAGGTGTAAAACAATCCTGATTCTTGTAACATTTTGCGAGTTCTGACAGGTATGTATATATTTTTAGAATAATAAATTATGATATATATACTGTATAACAAAAAATATAGCATATACCTCTAATGCTATAAAGTGTTCCAAATTAGACTCGAGTAAGGGTAAGCTTGGTTTATCGATTACCAATTTTGTTGTATAGAAAGGCCACGATCGATACAATCCATCGAATTGTAAATCTACGAAATATGTCTGTGCAACGTCACCTGTAGTTTCAATAAGTAAATTACAAGCGCTAAAATTTTGAGTTAAAAATTCATTAAGATTTTCTCTATTGGCATCTATATTTTTTATAACACATTGATTAAACATTTTAAACATTTATAAACTAAATCAACTGAATAAATTAAAAAAAACAAACCACTATTAAGAAATATTGCAGATTTCCCGGGTTTACCTCTTGATGACAGTTGTTGATTAATAGCCTCAACCGCTCGTAAATGAGCCTTTATGTTATCCTTTACTTTTTTTAATGGGCTAAAACCCAATGGTTTGATTTCGGAATTAAGGAAAGGAATTCCATCTACTAAGCACGAGATATCCGGCCTTTGTTTCGAGTTTTTAACCGCACAATCCAAGTGAACATATTATATTCATTATTTCTTTTAAGAAAAATATTATTAATGTAGGGTTGTAAGAATATTGAATAATGTTCGTATTCTGTTGTTTTTTTGGGAGCAAGATCGGGCACATTATCTCGCCTTAACATGTCAAAAGAATTTTTTAAGTAAGCTCTATTAACAGTTTAGGCTAAAAAAACAACAACATCAACCTACAACTCGTTAAATATCTTCAATGTCAATCTACTTAGATGTGATCTGTCTAGGTTCATATAACTGTCCTGTCCACATGCGTGTTTGATTACAGACTGATGTAAAGCCTGTGATATGGTGGCGGGCATCACTTGTTCATGTGTCTTGTACGGATTTGTATCCGTTATTGATTCCCATTCTTCGTTTGTAAAGTGGTTTGGATATGGGCAACTTTGAGCAAGTAAAATTACCGACGATAAAGTTCTGAAAGTTGATATATAATATTTAATGCAAACATAATTTAATGTTCAACTTATCTCATAATACTTACAAGATTTTTTGGGTATTATCCCATGTTAATTCATCTCGTTGAAGTACTTCTAAGGCTTCTTGTTGAAATTCACGGTATCTTTTTGTGACGTTTATATTATTGACGATCCACTGGTTTTCAAAGATAATAATAGTTAATAATAATAATAATAATAATAATAATAATAATAAGACAATTTAAGTATTAACTTCATACTTCATTTTGCGGGGGTCTTTTTAATTTTTTCGTGAAATAATTAATAAAATCGGATTTGCTTTTAAAGCTTTTTGTCTCGATTCGGTTTTCTTTATCTTTTCTTTTAGACTATAATAGTGGATAAAAAAATAAAAAACGATATTAATAAAGATTCTTTTTCACATAAAGAAGTATATAATTGGTTTCTTATTTATTATCAGCAACTTTAGATAAAGAATCTAATACAGTAGCAAGTATGGTGCGTCTTGGAGAAAGAACTCGGCAAGTCCAGACGTTCTTCTTCCCCACTACATGCAGATAACAGGGCGTAGCACACTCCTGAATTTTTCGTCCTCAACGAAAATAGAGTATGCACGGCTTAGAGGCCGAGAATCTTATACAGTTGACCCTCTCAGAATCGGTATGTATGGTGGGCCAGGTTTGAGAGGTTATCGGATTTGAACCCAGTTTTATATAGCTGAAATGGTAGGTTTTGACAGGTTATCGGTTTTGACGGGATCAGCTTTGAGAGGTTATCGGATTTGAACCCAGTTTTATATAGCTGGAATGGTAGGTTTTGACAGGTTATCGATTTTGACGGGATCAGCTTTGAGAGGGTTGACTGTAGTCCAAGACGCTCTTCTTCCCCATTTATGAGACAACAGGACGTAATATTCGCTCTTCCCATTTGTGCAAACAACAGGGCGTAATATACTCGCTGCTTTTGTTAGTATGTAAAATACTAACCTTTAACTCGTGGTTTATCGATAAAATTTTTTGATAAGCCTTCGTTCCAGGCTTTAGATTGGTTTTCATTGCAATGAGGTCATCATTTAAGGCTTGATTTATCCTTGTTTTTGAAGCTCGTGGAGAACTAATAGTGAAAAACTGGTACCAAGATTTTATTCCCCAGTCGTTGACAGGTTTTCTCCAGTAGGCGACATATTTTACATTGGTTTGTTCCAGTGACATGATTACTAAACAAAAGCGAGTAACAGGAAAGGAAAGCCAGATACAGAGAGTTTAGCCTACGTGACTGTTTACCTATTGGTTGTTATTTATGACCAAAATTTTCGTCACACAGACGCGTGCAAGCTTTTTGTAATACAAGTGAATTTAGATGATAAATGTTTACTGTATTTTCTTAATAAAATTGTGGAGAAAATGTGTATTTTTTAAATAAGATTGTTGAGGAAATGTGTATTTTCTAAATAAAATTGTTGAGGAAATACGTAATCTTTATAATAAAGAAAGTTCGAAAGGTAAAAATTCTCGTTCAATTCTTGATACATTAGACCAATTTCTGATAAAGAACCAAAATCCAAATGAAATGTTGAAACCAATCCTATGGTTCATTGCATTATCTCAAAAATTAATAAGTAATTATACGTACAGGATGTTTTTTCAGGTTTAAATGAATCGGTAATTAAAGAAAGTGAGATTATTAACCTGTATTCTGAATCATTTATATACAGTATATTTTGAGTCGAAATTTCATTTTCGAAAACAAAGAATTCCAGGTTTTAGCTGTGCATCATTTACACACTATACCCGATTTAGATATATTCCTCATAATGCGTACGTAAAAAACAATACATTATGTATGTAACTCGTTGCTCACGCTGACGGATTATTGATACATAAAGGAAGGAATTATAAAAAATTGAGATTATAAATAAAAAGTAGAATAAAGATAAAAAAGATTATATGTACCTTGCCGAGTAAGTGCTTTTAATCGAGTAAATTTATATCGAAAATGCTAAAAATTTTCTCAATATTGTGACATTTTGTTAACTATAATGTACTTAGTTTGGTACAATATGAAACCCTTATGACTCGTAAACTATATGCACGCTGTAATTATGCTCCAGTTTTAAAAAAACCAGAGCTAGTTATTAGTGATAGCCAATAACTACGTTGTAAGCATTAAAAGGTAAAGTTTATGAAATTCATGTTCGATTATAAGCTTGTAAATTCTCAATATTAGCCAGCTGGCTTGTAACACTTCTCAATACGTATTACAAATAAAATAATATACGTAAAACAAATAAATTTTATTAATTAGTTCTGGTAAAAAAATTTTTAACAAATTTTTTACTAAATTTACTATAATTTTAAGCATCGAATATGATTTTTAATGTTTAATACCAACACTACTACTGTATATAAATTTTTAATAAATTTGTAAATTTAAATACAGCACTAAAATTAACCAAAGCCAAGTATTTAAAATTTTTTTAAACTATAAAAATACTACATATATATTAAAATTGTTTACTATATACTGTATATACAGCATATTGTTATTTATATATTGTTTTTATAATAATATACAGTACTGTATGGATTATACATACAGTATTTGCAATTGTTAAAATACTCCAAAATTTGTAATCCCAAAATTAAGAGTCACATGTAAATTAGCTAATCAAACCTATAAATTTAATTTTATTTTTAATTAATTTATATTAAAGATGAAACCTTGCTCTTATCTTAATAAAAATTAAATCAATAAATTTATATAACATCAGGAAATTTTTAAAACCAAGATTATAATCGATTAATTTTAACCGAATTCTATCGTTATTAAGGATGTTGATAATCGATTGAAATCAAAATCGATTATAATCGATATATAACAATCAATTACAACCGATTTAAATTAATCGATTATAATCGATTGACTTTAATTTGTATTGATATAATAATCGATTGAAATCTCTATCGTATTTAATCGTTATGGGTAATGATTATTGATTAAGATCTAATGATTTTAATCGATTATAATCAGGTTTCAATATTTCCTGATGCAATAAAACACTAAAAATTGTAATCTAAAATATTTATTACAAAACATACCTCTAGTGGTTTTGCATCTATTATACTATATATATATATTTTATATCTTTATTATAAAACGCCTTATGGTGTTTTGCACCTACGTATTATGTTTTATTACAGTATGTTTTTTAGAATTGATAGGCACTTTTACTTAGAATATCTTGCATTGATTAATTAGCCAGTTTTTGAGATAATATATACATTGGTGTATTGTAAGTTTTGTATATAAATTATTAGCACAAATTTAGCCAGTTTTAAGATAATGCAACATACAGTAGATGGTAAAACATCATAAGTGTGTGTTTAAAAAATTTAAAAAAAATATATTTATAGTAAGTTTTTAACTAGCCAATTTTAGTTTTAACAAAATTATAATCTTTAAAAAAATAAGTTCTGCAAAAAAATTTGTAACTGGATAGTTTTAAAGAATCTCACTAATAGTTATATATGTAATTGATTCTAATTCATAGTACGAGTATTGCGGCGAAAGGATGATCCATCAATCCCAATTGAACGATTTTCGATTCGTCGATCCGAATGGCGTAAAATATTGGCGTTCGTATGTCAATGCGGTCAATTATAGATTTTTTTTTTAAGAAAAATCCTTATTATTCAGACGAACACCAATCGCGACCTTGTGATTTGAATTAACAAATTTTTGCGGCATTCGATTTGTCTCAAAAAACGAATCGAATAGTATATTTTATTTAATACTGTTCTATTTCATGATCCTGTGATCCGAATCGATTCAGACAAATCAAATATGATCGACGGATTGCGAAATTTCGCCACAATACCCACACTAACTGTATTTTGATCGGTATCTGTACGTACGTTAGTTAATTAATTACATCATGTACCTTAATTATATATTAATGATAGAGGGTTGAGTACGTACGTTAAAGTGGAAATTAAAATAGATGTCTCCCCGCCACTTCTGATTGGCACGGTAAATATTATCTCTGATTGGGCGATCGGGGTGGAGAAAAATATTCTTTATGCACCGCAAGTGTTACTTTTGATATAATTACGTATTTAATAAATTTTTTTTTAAATAATTCTTTCTGTTTTTTAATATTAACGTTTAGCAATTCGTTTGAATTTAGTAGCTCTTTAATTTTTGCACGAACGATTAAATTTTTTTTTACCGATTCTTCTAAATCCATCGTACTGTAATAATAATAATAATAATAATAATAAATAAAATTAAAAAAAATATTTAAGCAAAGATTTGTAGAAATTTTTTTCATATATAACAAAAAAAAAACTTTTAATGACTAGTATGTATAAATATCTTGTTTATTATATTTAATAAAGATTAAGTACATAGAAAAATGTGCATTTTGAAAAATGAAAAAATAGAATGTGAAAAAAATGAGACGTCAAAAAATGGGACGTCGGGAAAAATAGGAAAGAGGTCTTTTTTTTTTTTTTTTTTTTTTTTTTTTTTAAGTTATTTTTTTTTTTTCTTGCTAGACCAATTTTTCTAAAGTTGTCTTTCTTTCACTTATTTTTTTAACTCACTCTCTTTTTGAATTGTTTTTTTTTTTTTCAAGTTTTTTTTTGAACTTTGAGCGACAATATCTCAACACCTATCTGGCCAAATTTAAAAAACTTTTTTTTATTTTAATTCTATTTGTATGTGGCATTAAAATGAAAAAAATTTCATCGAATTTAGTCAACTGATTGTCGAGATACCTTCGATCAAAGTTTGTTGAAAAATATAAACGCGTATCAAAATACTGTAATAGCCGTAGCAATATTTTCTCTAACTTTAATTGAGGGTATCTTGACGACCACCTAATCAAATTCGATTAATTTTTTTTTTGTTAGAATTCTACGAGTCCGAAGAATTAAAATAAAAAAAAATTAATCGAATTTGATTAGGTGGTCGTCGAGATACCTTCGATAAATGTTTTAAAAAAAGTGATTTACATGGGTGTGGAAATGTCAAACTTTTCGTTTATGAAAAACCCTTATTGTACGAATTAATTATTGTACAAATTATTGTAACTTATATGCGAAGTCAATGTTTTCTCTTATTTTTATTTGATTAATTAAATTTTTTATCTTTATTTTTTTTTTTTGCCGATGTAAAGGACTACGTAATTCGGCCAATCAGGGACAATATTTACCATGCCAATCAGAAGTGGCGGGGGAAATTAGGGCTCCCCTCAAACAGCTAGTTTATCTATTATTAACATTAAAAATTTATTCTAAAAATAAATTATATATATATATATATTTCCTTTTGTTACACTATTGTGTTAATACAAATCATTACTTCATTATGCACTAACTTTACGCATTTTTTTAATTGTAAAATATTTATGATCAAAATTGATTAGTTTATCACATGTTTTAGTGGTATGCCGAAGTGACATCCTTGCCTGAACCCAGGCAAACGTAATGCCAAATTTTTCGGCAGTGCTGCTTACCCTAATATTTACTCAAGTGTAGATTTTTTATAATATAAGTTATTGAATGCATGTAAATTGTTATCTGTCATTACAAATTTAATAAATTTAATTGGTCCTGAGTTTGTTTGACACTATTTATCGAATATGGGACACATTTTTGGGTTTGGGTTATGGGTCCCAAAAGTAGAAATACCGATTCTCAAACCCAAACTATGTCGTAAGTCAAAAAAAAAAAAGAGAAGTTGGGTTGCAACCCTAATTGTTACTCGATGATCCAGTGCCATTGTTACCATTATTGTGGTTTTGATCATTTTGCTGACTGTTTCCCTGATTAACCAATGAATACCGACTAAAATAAATGATTAACGTATTATTGACATATATGGATGTACCTACATAATTTGGTTGAACATAATTTTATACGTACCATACTGGGCAAGTTCCACTAACTTTTAACCATCGCGCTACGCAATCCTTATGAAAACAATGAGTACAAGGCAAACTTAGAGCCTCTTCATCTACATTAAATTCATCTTTGCAGACAGGGCAATCCAATTGTTCTTCCGCTGCAGAATATGTTAACATTAGCCAGAATCAGATTTTCATTCTTTGATATTATAATTTATATATATCATCGCCCAGTTTTCTAAGTTTCTAACTAAATTAATTCAATTTTATCACTAACCGACTTGCTTTTTTGTAATCTTTGTCGTTGGTAAATTATTGATAATTTCCTCAGTTGCTGGTGGTGGTGCTTGCCTCCTATTCCAATATACAAACCGGAATTTATGAGAAATTTTTTTTTTTTAAAAAAAAAAAAAGGTAAATAGTTTTCGTGTTAATTACCCAGCTTGTTGTTCCATCAACTGCGAAATAATGTTATCAAATCCTGTAGAACCCCAAGCATAATCTCTAGGATCACCGTTTATGTTAAATAAATTAAAAATGTTTGCTGCATTGTTTTGGCCGTCTAATGCTCTCGCGAATATTCTAAAATTAAGAATAAAATATTATCAATAATCGAATGGATACAAAATATGTGAAATTAATATTTTTCTGAATAGCTAAAATTATTAACTCGATAGCCAAAAATGTACACAAACAGGTTAATACTGTACATAAAAAAAAGATCAATTGAGAGAATTAAACATACTGCGCAAAACCATGAAGAGGTGCTCGACCATCGCCAATTTCTGTGCCACCACTACCCATTGCGAAGAAAATGTTTGGACGTTGTTGGCCTTCTTGTTCATCACCCGATGTTTGTGCTGTTATTGTTGTTGTAGTAGTATTTCCATTAGTCTCCGTCTGCAGTACTCGAAATTGATTATTAGGTCCGGTTTGAAGTAATTGTTGCAACATATTCTGAATAAGCTGTACAACTTCATTTCCATTCGGTGGATTTCCTGTTGCTGTAAAAGTCGTGTTATCGTCATATTCTTCGTCAGTCTCGTGACCCATCCCCGGTTCAGCAAAGTCCCTTGGATCGTTATTTTCTCCAATCTAATTCCAGTAATGTATTGGAATTGGAAAGAATAAAAGTTACCAAGAATTACGTACTTTAAAAATGATCTTTTCAAACTATTCGAGTTGACAGTCATAGTCTTTGAATCAAACGTATATTTCATTTCATTTTATTTATTATATTTTTTCCATAAGCTTTTTTTTTTTTTTTTTTTTTTTTAAGAATCGCGAAGCAAAAAAAATCAATCCACCTCTTCCACGAACCCCTCATTGCAGTTAGGGCAAGTAAGTTCTGGAGCCATCAACGGCTCTATATTTCTATTACATGAGTGACAGTAGTATTGTCGTCGATTACTTCCTGGGTTATTACCACCAGTTCCACCAGTATTCGAATCTGAGGATTGATCTGACATGACTAAACAATTTTCTTTTAACACGCTCTCTTGTACTTGAGTATACTTGGTATAAATGGTTCTTTTACGTAAAAGTGAGAAATAAAACAGGTTCACACAAAACAGGTTCACAAAATCTTATAGTATGCTGCTTTTCTTGATCTGTCAACCTTATTATAATAACTCGCGGAAACAATAATGTTAAAATCAGGCGGTTATATGCGGATCCGTAATACTTTTATGAGCCTATCGTTATGCAATTGTTATCACTAATCATGAGCTAGTTGTTAATCATTACGTAACACGGGTAAAATAAAAACTATGACACATAAGGTAACACTTATTGACAAAAACGTCAGGTGATTTAAAGTCTGTCTTAATTAAATTTGTACCTTTTCTAAATAAATACAAAGTAAAGTTTCCCGTATGTGTTAAAATAGTTAAAAAGGTTAGCAAAGATTAGTTAAAAATAGCTATTTTTGTAATAAGGTAAGTTTGTCCTAGACGTCATTAATAACATCATATTTAATATTATAAATAAGGTATTTATTCATCCAAAAATTGGAAAACTCAACTTCCAATTGATAAATCGTTTAATGCCACACAAACTGCAGCTTTATGATGTCCATTATATTGTCTTATTGTTTCACCTTGTTGCAATTCCCAGAGACGTGCCACATGATCAGATGATGCTACGGAAATTATGAAAAAATAATAATTATATATATATATATATATCTTTACAAGTAGTCAAGTTGTGCTGGTAAAATGAATAATATTAACTAACCAGTGACCAAGTAAGCAGAATCGGCGGAAAACGCGCAATCCCACACCCATCGTTGATGTCCTTTTAGTTCTTTATCCAATTCAAATTCATGATTAACAGTAGACCATATTTTAACTGTTGTATCTGCAGAACACGTTGCTAAATGCCTGTGATAAAAATAACTTTAGTAAAAAATAAAATTAGGATATAAAAAATAATGTCATAGACATACTTAACATCTGGACTCAATAAACATCGTGTGATATATTTCTTGTGTGCCGAGAATGTTGTAAGCGGCTCTAAATCTGTAAAATCTCTATTGTTTGACATTTCCCATACATAACAATTACCCTGTAAAAATTTTATTAATAAATAATATAATATAATCATATTTGAAATATATCATATACAAGTAAATAGAGTACTTTGTTATTCGCAGCAACAAGCATCGAACCATCTATTGCAACAGTAACTGAGCGCATCGGAACATCCTCTTCAGGGATCTAGTATAATAAATAATTAAGACACCAATTAAAAGTAAAAATTATGAAATTTTTATTGTAACATTACCAATTCATGTGTGCAAGAATTTTCTCCCAAGTCCCAAATTTTTATGCTTCCTTTTTGATCACAAGAAATTAATTCACCTTGATTAGGATGAATTGCTACATCATTAACAGGTGCTTTATGGTCATAATTGCGCTGAATTGACGGTGCCCTAATATATTTTATTTATTTTTTAAATAAATTATTTGTAGATCTGCCAAAAAGAAGAAATGAATACTTTCAGATAAAGAATATATATATATATATACCTTGTATCCCAAATTTTCAGAGTACCATCCTCGCTACCTGTGACCATCCATTTTCCTTCACAATGAAATCCAACGGCTGTTACATTTCCGGTATGACCATCAAAGGAAGTAATCTGATAAGTGAAATAATTTAAATCAACACAAAAAAGAACGAAGGATTTAGCACGGATCATTCAGAAATTTTACCGGATTCGGATTAGAACTGTTAATATCATATAGTCGAATATGCTGGTTTCCTAACCATTTTTGTTAGTTTTTGTAAACCACATTTAAAGAATTACTAGATTTTAGAAAAGAAAAGTCGTACCTGCGGCTGCAAGATACCTTTTATCTGGAGAAATACATAGTCTATTGACTTGCTGTAGTAAATAAATCAGTAGTTTAATTTTTGGAAATAAAACTTTCCCCGCTTATTACTGTATTTACCGAATCAGGGTGTTGAATAGTCCTAGAGCAAATACCACTCAAAGCTTCCCAAAAACGAATAGTATGGTCGTAACCAGCAGTCACCAGTATGACCGAATGAGATTCTTGAGTTTGGTACTGTTGTTGCTGTGTATAATATTGTTGCTGTGTCTGATAATTATAATGTGGCCTGGAATGATGCCTCATGATTCTTCAATTTTGTAGATTGATTTCACGAATTTATTATAATTAATTTATATGGCATCCATCGTAACACAAATATTTTAGAGTAGTGTTCCGTAGGACCGAACCGAAGACCCGGAACCGACCAGAGTGTTAGTCAAAAAATTATGCTTATTTTAAAAACAATATCGAAATATATTAAGTTATATAGTATTATTATTATAATTAATTTGTCAATATTGCAATACGTATTGATATCGATAGAATTTAACTAAATGTCACTCAGGCAAAATCTTAATAAACTAACCAAGTGAACTCCATTCCGATGAATAAAAAATATGCATTTGCAATTGAGAACTTTGTAAATATATATATTCGTAATAGAGAACCTTACTCGTTACGGTATTGAGTTTGATTTTCAAAAGCGTCTTCATTTATAAGCTTATATTTGGCTGTTAAATGTTTCGATTGTCCATCGAACAGAATTTCTCTATCCTAAAACGGTTTTATGAAGATCGAAGCAAATTGGCTTTCAGATATTCAAACATTATGAAAAATATTTAACGGAAGAATTACGATTCGTCATGATGTCCTCTTCGTCATAATAGGTAGAATGCCGTATCTAAAATTATTATGACGAATCAGGATATCTCATGACTCCGCGATCAGAATCGGGTGAAATCTGTACCATTCGCTTCCTTTCAATGAGATGGTGCAAATTTCATCCAATTCCGATCACGGGATCATGAGATAATCCCGATTCGTCATAATACCTCCAAAGCTAAAATTTTCCTATTTTTTAAAAATATTTCAACTTTAAATATTTCGTGATGTAGTGATCAGAAACGAATGATTTTGGTATCATTTGCAGATGGTACCAAAATTATTTGATTTCGATCAATGCATCACATTATACGATCGAAAATAGTAACTTCGTCATAATACCCATATTCACCTTATATTTATTTCTATTTTTTATAATGTACAAAATCTCGAATTTATAAATTATACATCGTAAAGTCATAATTACTACGCTATATGACCTCAATTCCCGCACACTTTCACCTTCATCCTCCATCAAAAATATAAACCTAAACAAACAATTGCTCGAAGTTCCGGTTTCTCTCCCATTCCAGTTCTTATTCGTGTTCCAACAAAGCGAAAGTCTACAAAGAGAAAAATAGTTAGATAACATTTCAGGAAAAAAAAAATAAGAAAATGGAAATTGTTAGTTATCTTACATTTTCTTAAATCTTCGAGTACACATTTTGCGTTTTTACTGTTCCAACGACCAACGAAGCCAAGACTTACAAAGAGAATGGAGAATGGAAACCGGTACTTATCTATCGACACACCTGATCTAAATATTCGAGTTTCAATTAGAGATGACGATCGGTCACAATCAGGCCTACCGAAAAATCAATTACAATTAATTTTTGACATATGTCATACGATTAAATTCAATTAAAATTATCATAAAATTAGTCGAAAAACATTGTCACGCGCTTTATGTATGCTGGCTGGGATGAGAGCCAGGAATAACTTTATTAGAGATAGATAAAATAGATACTGAGTCATAGGAACTGAAACATTGATTATCCCGAAATAATTAGCAATATTGATTGCGCTGGGAATCGCCGTAACAGACCAGGCAGGAGTTAAATAGATAGCTTAATTATTCAGCCGGTGGTTTCCCGCCTGCTGAAGCAGGCCGGCTATTAGAATGGCAGAATCATGTGACTGTCTTTTGTGGCGGGATAGGGTGGGCAGAAATTTTCAATTTTTACGCTGCGGGTGAGAGTTAGTAAGAATTGAAGCATAGTGGAAGTTTATTTTAATTGGTTTTTAAAATACCCCGGAAAAATGTAGATCATTCTCCGGATAAAGTATTGGCTATGTCCGGATGAAATTTTATTACTCATGAAACTTTCAAAAAATTAGTCAATACTCTCTAAAGGCGTGTATTATAGTCTTATAATACATTAATTAGGGCTCATGACTATTCATATTTCACAATGTATACAATATTATTTCATTTCACAATAAGTAAAATATTTATTTTACAACAAATACTCTAAGTTT